TTTTTAAAAAATCTTTTTTTCTTTCCTTCCATTTTTTTTGAAAATTATTTGAAAGTACACACACACATACACACACATACACATACACACACACACACATACACACACACACACACACACAACGCATATTGCCAGATGTATTATATAAACAAGGATGATTCATTTATCGTTAATTAATGCGCTTTAAAAGTAGGAAAAAGGACATTTTTGCATTTTAGGAAAAGAGGAAATAAAATGAAAACAAAATAGAATTTTAAAAAAGTTAATAATTCATTTAAATTTTGCATCAAATAATATATTAGTTATTGTTTTTTTAGCACACAGATTAAATATTTATGATAATCATTGAAAATTTTAATGGGAATTTTGAATATTAATTATATTTGAAAATTTGGAAATTGCGATTTGAGATTTCAGATAGAAAATTTGGGAATTGCGACTTGATACCTTAGAAAGAAAATTTGGGAATTGCGATTTGAGATATGAAATATGAGCAATCAGTCTAAATAATTAAATTTTCACTAATTGAATGAAAAGAAATGAATGTCTAAAAATTTTCAAGTAATTACTGAAATCATTTTAATAAAATGCAATAAATGAATTTAAATTCCAATTTAAATAAATGAATTCAAATTTAAATTAAATAAATTAATTAAATTAAAGAAAATATAAGAATAGTTTTGCAAAAATTTTTCAAATAATTATTTATTGTATCATTTTAATAGATTAATTAGAATAATAAAAATGGTTTAATTTCCGTTTTCTTTCTCTCTACTTTTCCCTATCCTATCTTATCAATCTATTAAGCTATCAATAACCTATAAGCATCTCTTTTAATATATTCTGATATTGCCTTGCACAAAATCATTAACGTTAATCAAAATGTCTTCGAAATAATCGATGTATATATATGTGTGTATGTGTGTGGTGTATATATATTAGATGAAAGAAATGAATTAGAGAGTGAAAAGAGAAGAATGAGGTTGAAATTACTACTTCGATAGTATGAAGATCTCGAATTGAAAAATTACTTCACCAAATCGAATATAAGGGAAAGGCAAAGAAGCACTTTAGGAAATAGTTCCATTTAAGATTTAAAATTTAATTTAGGAAAAAGTAATGAATGGAAAAGATGATGCTTTGAAATATTTTTGCTAAAAATATACCATATAGTATAGTTAATATTATTTCTACTGAACATTTATATATATATATATACATTGATAAAAATTTTAATTTTATTTTTGTATTTTCTTTTTTTAATATATATATATATCATATAATATATACCATACAATGTATATATATATATATATATATATCGAATTATTTCATATTAAATTGATAAAAAAGAAATTCTAATTTCATTTCAAATTTTTTATTGGATCGAATTATTATTCATTTCATATTTCAATCTGAAATTCTACGAAATATGAAACAATTCCAAAATTATTTTGAATGATGCAAATAAGATGTAAAAATTAATATTTTCGATTAAGTTATTAATTTTTAAATTATGAATAAAATGATTAACTGTAAGTGGAATAGATGAGAATTGATTAAATAAATTACTAATTATCAAATCTGATCTCATCAAAAACTTCAATTATCTATTTGAATAATTAATATTGATATTATTTCCAATTGAATAATTAATATTTAATTAATATTACTTCTATTAAAAGAAATCATTTCAAAATTTATACAAAACAATTTAAATAAAAATGAATACAATTTAAATATTAGCACCACCTTTTTTCTTACCTTTTTTTGAAAAGTTCAATTTTAACAAAACAAAAAAATTAATTTCAGTGTTAATTTTTCTTTCTTAGAATTAACTTTTTTTTCTTTTAAATTTCATTTAAAATAAAACAAAAGAACTCATATTATTATTAAATTAAATGCTTAACAAAAATTTTTTTTTAACCTAAAATTAAAATTACAGCTCAAACTATTTGAAAAAGCATAAAATTATTCATATTTAATTATTATTTTCCATATATGTATAAGTATTTTTTTGTTCATTTCTATTTCATAATCTTAATTTTAGGATTTAATTTTGCATTCAATCACTTATAATTTAATCATTAATCTCTTATGTATGGAATATATATATATATTTCTACCAATCTTTTTTTAGCATTTGATTTTAGGATTTAATTTGCATTTGATTTCTAATTTTGGGATTTAATTTGCATTTGATTTTTAATTTTAGGATTTAATTTGCATTTAATAATTAACTTCTTATGTTTTTAATTTTAGGATTCAATTTGCATTTAATCATTAATTTCCTTATGTTATAAATATATTTTTTTCATTTCCATGCTGCATTTTTCTTTTGCCATTTGATTTGTAATTTTAGGATTCAATTTGCATTTAATCATTAATTTTCCTATTAATATATATATATATATATATATAGAGAGAGAGAGAGAATTCAATTTGCATTTAATCATTAATTTTCTTATGTTATATATATATGTTTTTCATTTCTACGCTGCAATTTTTTTCCCACATTTTATTTTTAATTTTAAGATTTAATTTCCATTTAATCATTTAACATTTAATCATTAATTTCCTAATATACACATACATATATTTTTTTTTCCATTTCGATTCCACAATCTTTTTTTTTCGACATTTAATTTTTTAATTTTAGGATTTAATTTCTCAACAAATTCATCCTAATTTCAATGTAATATAGGGAAGTGAAAAAAATCCGAAAAATTGAAATCTAAATTGAAATTAGATAAAACATGAAATGAACATTTCTTTCGTTTTCATTCCTTTGTAAATAATGAAAAAAAAGAGGAAATTTATCCTTTCATCCATTTTTTTTCAACACTTTCATTAACAACATTTTCTTTTTTCAACCATTTCCTTAGCCTATCTCTGATAACTCATTCTAGGCTTATTTGCTAACTAGATTTCTCTTATTATACATACATGTTTATATATATCCCGGGAATTGTATTGGGAAAGAAAGAGTGTGTCATTTTAGTAGGAGAGAGCAGAAGGGATCCAATATTAGGTTAAAAAAAAGGAAGGAAAAACGAAAAACGACTAAAGATTAAACATTTAGGCAATTTGTTGATTATTTAAATTGTTTATTACATCTATCTAATATAATATTTAATTACATATAATAATTAAAATGCAAAATGATATTGTTAATTTGTGATAATAATGGTAGAAAATTATCGTTATATAATATAAAATATTTTGCTAACAATTTGGAAATTTATAATTTTTAATTTAATACTTCAAAATACTTTTAATCATAATGCTAAATGTATTTTGCTTTAAGCATTAGATTTATAAAATTTTGATAGCAAAATGGAAATTAAAATGATAATATTATTAATTTGTAATAATAATGAAAAAAAACTTATCATTATATAATATAAAATATTTTGCTAACAATTTGGAAATTTATAATTTTTAATTTAATACTTGAAAATATTTTTTAATCATAATGCTAAATGTATTTTGCTTCAAACATTAGATTTAAATAATAATCCTGATAGCAAAATGAAAATTAAAATGGATTATAAAATTTTCAAATTATAAACAAAGGATTAATTTAAAAGAAAAACAAAAGGATTACGGTATGAGGAGAAAAATGTGAAGAAATTTGGTACGAAGGATGGAAAAAAGCAAAACGAAATTTTATAAATTATTTTTTTCATTGGATGAAAATTGCATTTGATTGTATATCGTCTGTTTCATTTCAAAGATTAATGCTTAATTTATTATTTTGGATAATCAATTTTAACATTTTTCTATTCCTCCTAATTAATTTAATTTTAATTTAGAAAAAAAAACTTAATTAGAAATTTTAATTTGAAATGGCTAATTATAAATTGTTTAAGATTTAAATAGAGAAGGTATTTACACATCAAAAAAAAATAATATCCTATATGATTAAAATTTCTTAAGTTAATCAAACTTTCTAAAAGTTCGAAAATAATTGATTAATTAACATTAATTATTAATTAATAATATTAACCCGTTCGTTGTAAGATGAGATGAATGATTGAAATAATATGTCAATGTGTTACACTTATCTTAATTATGTCAATCATTTTTAGCTTTTCATTTCATCTTATCCGATTTATTTTAATTTTAATTCTGATTATAATTTTAGCTTAAATTTCTTTAGTTTAAATTATAACTTAAATTATATCACCTTTTTTAATTTTAATTCTAATTTTAACTTAAATTATATCATCTTTTATTAATTTGAATTTTAATTTTAACTTTATATCATATTTTGATATCATAAAACTTTATATCATATTTTATATCATATTTTTAAAATTATATCATATTTTTTAACTTAATTTTAGCTTAAATTATATCACCATTTTTAATTTTAATTTTAATTTAAACTTAAATTATATCATCATTTTTAATTTAATTTTAGCTTAAAATTACATCACCTTTATTAATTTGAATTCTAATTTTAACTTAAATCTTTCATTAATTTGAATTCTAATTTTAACATAATTATATCATTGTTTCTTTCACATCTAATTATCATACAATAATAATGCATTCTTTTTTCTAATTTCACATTAAACAAAATAGCTTTCTTCGTTTCGTTTGCATCATTTTGTGAATTTTAATTTTTTTATACTAAAAATATTTTCAAAAATTTTATTAAATTTATTAAATTTAATTTCTCACGAAAAAAGAAAAAGAAAAGTTAAGAAAGGGTGAGTAGAATAAAGTGAAATAAAAGGTAAAAGAAAGAGATAAAAAGAAAATATAATAGAAGATGAAGAAGAAAGAAAAGACCGCTAAAATGAATTATTGCATAATACACGCAAACAAATCCTCATTTCCTGAATTCTGTGAACCGGATTTCTTTGAACTTTTTAAAGCCGACCGACATTTAACTGATCCGATGAAAAACCCGCACACACACACACATACACATGGACCAATAGACAGACATGCATACAAATTTAAATTGCATATAATTTATCAATTTTAAAATGGAGGAAATACGAATTGAATTTTGGGAGGTTTTCTAAGGTTACAATTGCAATTTTAAAATTTGACTAATTTAAATTTTCTATTGTTACAATAAAAATTTAATTGTTTTAAAGCGCATTTAGCAAATTATTAATTTTGCTTTATGTCTTCTTTTTGTAATAATATAATACAAAAAATAAGAGAGAAAGAGAGAGTAAGAGAAAAATAAGCAAATTACAATTTTTAAATTTAAATCTCATGAGAATTAATTTTAAGACATCATTTTGGTTATGTTAATTGATAAGACTATTACTATTTGCGCTTATCGATTTTTGGGTTATTTTTCCTACTATTGTTTACTTCATCTCTTTTTGAAGTTTTGAAATGAAATATTGTGATTAATTAGTGAAATATTGTATTGTAAAATGATTAATTAAAAAAAAATATGATATTGTCATTTTCTTTGTTTTAAATTATTTCTATAGGATAAATATTATTTGAATTGAATTTTAATAAAATTTTGAAAATATTTTGTTGAAATAATTTCGATTTTAATTATTATTTTAATCTATATTGTAATCTATGAAACATTTATTATTATTATTTTTATCAATTTTTAATAATGCAATTTTAGTTTTAGTCCTATACTGTAAATCATGAAACAAAAGCAATTATTATTTCTTGCATATTCATTAATTATTATTTTTACCGATTCCTAATAATACTATTATTTTTTGATAAAGTATGATAGTGATTAAAGCAATAATAATTACTATATCTTTTACAGGTATTTCCATGTCGAGCATATGATATTAAAATTTTATGATAGAGTATGATAATGATTACAACAAATATTCAATAATAATTATATCTTTTACAGGTATTTCCATATCGAGCATGCGATATTAAAAGGAAAGGTTACGATCGCACACTTATCGATCATATTGCTATCGTATTTTTTGATGATTTAGAACCATTTATTACAGGATGTGTTTCATTGGATAATCAAGTTAGTAGCATTATTATTATTATTGTTATTATTGTTATTATTACTATTATTATTATTATTATTATTATTATTATTATTATTATTATTATTATTATTATTTAGTTATTAGTATATTATTAGTTTATTATTTAGTTATAATTTATTTGGTTATTAGGTCATTAAAATTTGATTATATAGTTATATTCGCATAAACTGGAAATACATCATAATACTCTGAAATATGAAATTAAATTTAGTATTTTAATTTTTATTATCTTTAACTAAACAAACTTGAATAATTCATTAGTACGGAAACTTTTCTTAAGAATAAATTGTTCATCATTACAAAGAGAATGGTTATATAATTACTGTTGATAAATGATACATTAGAGATATAATCATTATCAATTAATTGTACTACTACTACTACTGCTATCGCTATCATTATTGTAATTATCAGTAAATGTAGTTAGTCATATCTGCATAAATCGAAAATATATTATAATATTCTGAAATATGAAATGAAGTATACTTTAAAATTTTTTTTCGCAATCATGAATAATTGAATTGTGCAGAAACTTTTTCTTTATAAATTATTTTTTATTAAAAAAGAGAATAGCCATAACAATGATTATTGATAAATAGTATATTAGAGATCATTGTCAGTTATCGTTATTATCATCATCTGTAAAATGTAAATGATATAATCATTATCAGTTCTTATTATTATTACTATTACTACTACTACTACTATTGCTACTACTGCCACTACTACTACTACTACTACTACTAATCATCGCTATCGTTATCGTTATCTTTATCATCATCATCAGTAAATGTAAACGAAAATCCCATTAAAAATCAGTAATTGAGCACATTTCGTTGAGCTAAAATTTATGGTTCCCAAACTATCATTTCTATCATCCATCCATCCATCCATTTATTCAATTCATTCATCCGTCCGTCCGGCAAACCGTTCTGAAATTACATACCATCTGTCTCCTTCCTCATCTTTTCCTCTCTCTCTCTCTCTTTTCCTCTCATTATCATTATATTGCCAGCGTTTGTTATTGCTTCATTTTATTTGTTCATTTAAATATTACAAACCAGTTTTAGGGCTGAGAGGGAGGGAGACGGGGAAAATGAAAGGAGAAAAATAAGTTAAGATTAAGGAAAGAAGGGAATAGAATTAAAATACTTTTATTGAGGAAAAAGAAAAGAAGAAAGAGCAATTAATTAATCATTTTCTTAAAAGATGAAGAAAAGCGAAAAAACCGAAACAAAAATCTTTTATATTTAAAAATTTTATAGTATATTAAAATTTTCATATATATAGTATTATTATTAATTTGGTTTAGGATGAAATTATAATTAATTAAATTTACATATGATAATTTGTATGATCTATGATCTATCAATGAGAGAAAATTATATCAGATATAAAATAGCATTTCTTTGATTGATTAATTGATTGATTGATCTAATTTGTAATTAAGTAATTGAATTATGAAATAAATTAATAAGAGATTAATTGCATATGTTTCCTAATACATGACACATTTGTGCACATCTATATTAACATATAGCATAAATTAGGTGTAGTATTATTATTGATTTGATTTAGGATGAAATTATAATTAATTAAAAATATATGATAATTTATATGATCTATCTGTTGATAATTTTAAAGTGTTCATTCTTACTTCGTTTTTATCCACCTCACCCTTCTCTCTCTCTCTCTCTCTCTCTCTCTCTTCATATTTTGTTTCGGATTTATCCATCCTTGTATATTTCATTATTAAATTTTTTTGGTACCAAATAAAATATCCTAAAATTAAAATACAAAAGAAAATACAAATACAAAATTTGAAATAATACAAAAGCATTTTAATTGAAACAATTGAAGTAATTATTATTAAATACCAAATATAATTTTTTAAATATTTTCTTATTAAGTTTTGAATTTTGTTTCTTTTTTTTTTCACTGAAACATTAATATTTATGTGAAATAATTGAAATAATAATTATTATTAAATATTAAATATAATTTTTTATTCAGTATTTCCTTATTGAATTTTTGAATTTTATTTCCTTTTTCTTCAACTAAGCTAAAATAAAAATTTCTTCAGGTACGTTTTGCCGAAAAATCAGGTGCATTGGGTTTGGTTGTTGGACCAGAAAGTCGTATAGTAGCACAAATTGATAAGGTTGGATAGATTGTTAGAGAAAGGAAAAAGCTGATACTATTAATTGTAATTTGATAAAAGTTTATAGTTAACTATTTAGGCAAAAAAGAAGGAATGATTGATAGAAATTGAAAATATTGTCTTAAAGCGATGATCTTATAAAATTTTAACATTTTGTTAATTAATTTTTATTTATTTAATCAATTCTAATTAATATATTTCAGACACAACGTGGTCGTATACCGGTTGTAATGTTGGATGATTTAGAAACAAAACGATTAAAGAAGCAATTAAACGAAGCAACACATAGTGGTTCTGTAATTCGTATTGCCTTCGAATATGTTGATTTTGAACCTCAATATACTTTACGACTACAGGTGATCAACAGTATCATTTTATCATCTTAGAAGGAAATAATTACAATGATAAGATAGTGATATGTGATAGTTGAAGTGATGAGATGATAAGAAATCGTAATCTATATCATTCTCTTAATTATCCATTATTTTTATTTGAATGTTTAATTAATACGGGAAACTTTCATAACGATTGTTTTATCAATTTCTTTTATCTTATCCTTTAATAAACTCTAATTTTGCATTTTCTTTCTATCACTTATCTTTCTTTTTCTCTCATCGCATAACTATCTTTTATTTTTTTTATTTCGCTGATAATACTAATCACATTATCATAAACATAATTTTGAACTATTGTTGATCTTTGATGAAAGATAGATTAATTAATTGACTCAATGATTGATCGACTAACTGATTGATTGACTGGTTGATTGATCACTTTGGAAATTTTCATTTCAGATTTCATCATTTATAGAATCTTTGATTTCTCAAAAAAAATTTTTTTGTACGATAGAATGAATAATTCGATAGTAACCGATTTATATACAAAATAATTATCTAATCTAACCTTTATGATGTATGTGTTTGAAGACTTAAGCTATCTAGTAAGAATTTAGGTGACCTTTTCCCATATAATCTTTATTAGAATTTATATTTATAGTTTTTAGAATATCGATCAATTTACTTGGGTTATCAAGTTAGAATTTAGGTAACCTTTTCATGTAATCTAACTAGAATTCATATTTGTTGCTTTCAGAATATCGATCAACTTATTTAGGTTATCTAGTTTGAATCTAGATAACCTTTTCATATAATCTAACTAGAATTTATATTTGTAGCTTTCAGAATATCGATCGATCAATTTTTCCAATAAGCAATATCTAATTTATTAGAAATTTCTCATACTTACAAGTGCGTATATATCTTTTTGATATTCTTCAACTATTTCATTGCAATTTTCCATCGCAAATATTCATTTCTGAATGATAGTCGAAATTTACTTCTAATTAATAATAAAGTTAAAGAATTCAGAGCTATTGGAATTTTTCTGGATAATACACTTGCAACGAATTATATTTTATAATAATTACATTTAAGTTATCCTTAAATTTCCAGATTTATTTACATTTTCTATCTTCTCTCAATTTCCATGCTCTCTCATTAATCTTATCAATCTTTTCTGATCACTTTATGTGCTCCTTTTTTTGCTTCCCAACTTTTTAATTCTTTTTCCTCATCCTAAAACATCTTGTTATTGTTTATATTATTAGTATTATTGTTTGATAAATTGAAGAATAAATTTGCTAATTAATTAAATTTTTAGCTACAATTTAAAAGTATTTGAATTTAGATATTTCGACCAACAGTATTAAATATTGGCTTAATTATACTACTAATAATGCTAATTATGTTTATCACTGGTTTGGTATATATCAAAATTCGTTGGAGGCCTACAACACATCGTGATATTTGGTTGCGTACATTAGCCAGGTTAATACATTCTTTTCAAAATCCTATTTGAGATTTAATTTTGAAAAGATTTATAAATTTGCTGCAACTCTCTACTAAATATTATTGTCGAAATTTTTGCATCTTTTTCTTCCTTTTTTTTAGAGGGAAATCTTTGAATTCTTAAAGTATACAATTCAATGATATCAAATTTAATGAATTGTTATAAAGTCTGAATTAACAATGGATATCAATCATAAATTTTACTTTCTTTAAAACAAAAACCTTTGAATATTATAAATTTTAATGATATGAAGTTTAATGATTATTGTAAATTTCGATTTGATAATGGATCTTTTTTCCAAATATCAATTTAAATTAAAGATAATAGGTAGTAGTAGTATGATCATCAAATATACCTCTACCGGATGAATTTACCTTTTAGAGCAGCAGTGAACAAAATGGAAATCCGGAAATTTGAAAAAAACGGTAATTTTGGAGTAAATAATGGTAATAAGTTGCATAAAAAACGTTCATTACTATGTCTTCCATCAAAACGACGTTACTTACCTGTATTTGGTTCACTTACGTCTGTTGCACGAAGTTATAACGGTCAAGTTCGTAATATCATATTTGTTAATAAAATTCATAGTATCATATTTGTTAATAAAGTTCGTAGTACATTATTTGTTAATAAAGTTCGTAGTATCATATTTGTTAATAAAGTTCGTAGTATCATATTTATTAATAAAGTTCGTAATATCATATTTGCTAATTGTTGAATATTTCAAACTTTCGATTTCGAAGTTTCAAATTGTAAAAAATTTCAAAAACTTCATTATTTCATTAATTTCTTTTACAAATTATTTCATCAAAATATCTACTACTTCTTTTCTTAATTGTTTTTCTCTTTAAAGGAACGTTGTAGTATTTGTTTGGAAGAATATAAGGAAGGACAAGAATTACGGGTGTTATTTTGTGGTCATGAATTTCATCCAAAATGTGTCGATCCATGGTTAATTAGTAACAGGTAGCAACAGCTTATATTCCAATTAATTCATCTATCATTTATTAGTAATTGCCAGTTGTATAGGATTAATTGTAATTTATTTATTATAAAATTTATATTTTCTCATTAATTATTTAATTCGTAATATTGCATTGTAAATAATATGGTAAGGAATTTTATTATATTAAATTATATTTGATAAATATGATATTTATTTTACTTATTTTGTTTATTTTTTCACTTATTTAATTTATTTATTTTAATTATTGATTATCTTCGTTTAATTTCAAAGTTTTGATTTTTGCAGACATATTTTGATATTAGAAATTTTTGAATTAAGTTTTGTTTTCAAATCTTTCAACTAATATATATATATGTATGTATACATAGATATATGTGTTTTCATGAAATATTCCACATTATAAAAATCATGATAACTGATAGTTTTTTAGGCGTTGTCCATTATGTCAGTATGATGTTGTATATAAAGAATATCCTAAAACGGAATGCAAAACGAAAAGTTATCAAGCAAAGTAAGTTCAAAATTTTTTATTACATTATGAGGGATTATGATTTTTCACCAGGATTATAATAATTATGATTTTCTCGGAAATTATGAGAAGCATCTATTGATCACTGCATTTATTCATGATGCTTGATGATGTAAAAATTTGTGCAAATTTCGATGCCTAAATACATCATTGGTACCTAAATATCATTACCTGAAATATATCACTTCCTAAATTATATCACCTCACAATCATTAGCGTAATTTCAATTGTTTTATTATCCAATATCATGTCGATCAATGCATTATTTTCTACAAATATCATTTCAATCAATCAATAAGAAATGATGAAATATTTCAGCTGTCAATCAGTCTGGGATTTACCGAATGGTCCAAGTGTACCATTGCTGCCAGTATTATCGGAACATAATAATGATCCAATGATTACTACAACAAATACAACCGTTACTTCTAATGCAATCACAGCTATCCATCATACCTTCACAAATGCTTATATGCAAATACAACCTGAAATTCAAGCTTTAGCAGAAGGGAATACTAGTAATAATACAATTGATTCTAAGAAAAGGCATCATCGTCGAAGAGTAGTGGAAGATGTAAGCGTTTTATCTTCATTAATTAGTAATTAATAGTGATTACAGTAGGAAAGATTGAGAAAATTCATTATAATCAAGTTAATTTTCGATTCTTCAATTTCAACTATCATTTTATCCTCTGATTTAATCAGTCATAAATCTTTTAATCTCATTTAAATTTATACAAACTTTCCGACTGATGATGAAGAAAGAATGACACGGAAGAGAAAAGCGATAAAAGTGATAAATAGCCGATATCAGTCGATCTCCGAAATTCCACACATATATAATCATTTTATTCGATATTTTACATTTCGTTTCATTCACTCTAACTAAGATGCAAAATATGCTTACATCTTTTAGGCTCACAATTTTCATCTTTGTCTTGGCAACAATGGTTCATCATCATTTGCTTGTCCACAACTTGTCCATATTGGATGGGATGATAGCCGAAAGCGAAGTAGACGAAAAATGATCAATGCAAAATCATCGAGGCGTTGCTTACAGAATCGATCTCGATCATTGGGTGCATATCAACGAAGCCAAATTCAAAGGCTACATAGGCCAATATTTACGACAAATTTGGCTACTACTATTGCTGCTTCCTCTCCTTCTTCTTCATCATCATCTTCTGCTGCCATTGCTGATGTTACGATTAATTTGAAGGAATTGCCGCAACAATCAAAGCAAACTTTTGAAACTATATCTGGGTAGGGCCATGGCCATTTTTTTCAATTTTTCAAAAATTCCATATTCTTCGATCTTTCATTTACGATTATCACTACAGTAATAATTACTATTAATAATAGCAAGAATGGTAATAAATAATCAATAATAGTAATATTAATTAATAATAATTAATGATAATAAAACTTTTATAGTTCAACCGAATTTCATGAATCCTTTGTTCAATTTGGAAATTAAATTAACAGAATTTACAGAAACTAACTGTAAAAGTTGCAGTTACTCATCAGATATATCATCATTTCCGGACGTAGATCGGCCGAATTCACCATCAGCAGCTGCTGGAATAGCGATCACATCTCGGCGTTATTCTCTTGCCGAAAATATATCCAGCAAACAATCAACCGAATGTAATGTACGTCAACGACAGCAACAACGACAGCAACAACAACAACAACAGCGACAACAACAACAACAGCAACATCAGCAACAACAACAACAACATCAGCAACAACAACAACAACAACAACAACCAACCAATTCAAGAAAAATGCATCAATCTATGAAATTCATATCAAAACTTCCCACTACAATTCCATTTCAAAGGATCTCATTCGAAAAACACCAAATTTTATAAAATTCATCAACATGATATTATTCAGGAATACTATTTATAATGAAATTATGAAATGGAAAATAAATAAATTATGATAGATTATATTGGATAGATTCATATCATATGATTTATTTAAAAAAGAAAAGTGAAATGATACAAAATAATTTAAATCATGATAATAGGATAAATGGTGTTTTAGTGATATATATATATATATAATTTGAGATATTGTTTTAAAAAAATTATTTCATGTTAATTAATAAAGTGCACTGAATATATTAAAGCATTTCAAAATAATTAGGAAAGTTCTGTTCTTTTTGTCTATTTGTTTTTTTTTTCATTGTTTTTCTTCTTTTCATTTGTTGTATTCATAGTGTTAAAATGAATATTCGATCAGACTTCAGGTTAAAAAGTTTAAAATTTAAAAAAATATATGGATTGCATTTATTTCTTTGATATGGCAAAAATGAACGAAATGAAATTGGCAAATACAACAGGCATAATGTAATATGTAAATTAACTTCATAATTACAGAATGATTAATTATAGGTTGATAGAAAGAGTAAGAAAGAAAAAGTATTGTAATTAGCAGCTTATGCATCTGTTACTAGAAAGTTTATTAATTTTTTTCTTTTGCTCAAAATTTAAATTTAATTTTATAATCAGTAATCATTAATCAATTAATGCTTAACTGAATAACATGTATGAAAATGAGATAGGAGAACGATGATAGCGATAATGATAATGGTGATAATGATGATGGTAATGAAAAATGCTAATTTGTAATTTTAATCTTAAATTTTTTTCCTCGTATTATTTTTCATTTCCGATTTATTCATTACATATAATACTGAAGAATAAGGAATTACTACTATAATGTATATTTATAATATATGTAGTGTTTTTTTCTCAAATATTATTTGTTTAATTTAATAGACTTAATTTTAATGTAAAAATATAATAGGAATTTATTAACATAATGTCGCAGTTATTTTATATTTTAGGATATGGCAATATTGCCTTAAAAAGACCTCATCATCATTTTATGTATATAATAAATTTTTATCATTATATATATTTAATGATAAAAATGATATGGAATGTGATATGAAATTGTTCGTACGACATTTATCATGTAATACGAACAATTTCCTATTTTTACAAATATATTAATAAATTGATTTAAAAACACAATCTGAATTAATAAGCTAAAAGAGATGCCCGACATAGTTGTAGCATTATTTGAATAAACTGAATTTAATCTTTCTAATTTGCCATAAATAATACAAGTGCTAATTTAGGATGAAATGAAAAATATCGGAACTCATTTATTTACATATTTATTAAGATGCAGTTGAAAAATCTTTCATATTTACCGACGAAATTCATCGCAATATTTTAGGGGAAAATAAAATGACAGAATAAAATTCATCTCTAAATCTTTTTTTGTTCTACAAAATCAAGCTTCTAATGTATGCCAAAATAGCTTGCCTTTAAAATGGCACTTTGTTGTTATTTTATTTATTATTCACTTTTTGTATATGGTCGATGATATCAATCTAAATAAATCATGTTTTTGCTCCGATTTATTTGTTTATTCTTTTATCAATGATTCTTAAATTAAGAAATAGAAAACGATTAAAGGAAACATAATGCTCTTTCCATTTACATTAGAATTTACAAGCATACAGGCAGGAATGGGCTACAGTTGAAAATTTTCTACTAATTGCAAAGTGAGAAGAAAACTAAAAAGTATGGAGTGTGTTTACAACAATACGTTTACTTGTAAACGACTATAATAAATATGTATATTAAAATAAAACGCAATATTCAAGCAATCATTTTCTTATGACTAACACTTCTGGAACTATATTAAGACTGATAGCCAATGCTATATGAAAGAATCTAATAATAGACTTCGTTATCGAAACTTCATCTTTTCATTTTTATTTTTTGATACATATTTCTGTTCTTCAAAAATATAAGATCTTCATTTATTATTGCCTTCTTATGAAGAACTGATTTTAAGTCGAACCTAACCAGACGGAGCCAAATGTGTAACAATTTGTTCAGATCGATCCATTGATAGAGTTATCATGATGTGCTGTTTCTGTTTTAACTAAAGATAAAACTGACAGATAAGAGATAAAAACAATGCTAAAATGGATCATGGGCAACAGTCATAAGCATCATGTAGTACTAAGAACTGTTATTCCGACAAGAAGTCGATGTCGATTTGCAACCTTCATATTCCTTCAGACTTGGATTCTCTAAATCTCCATGTCCGCTATTTTTATTCATCCCAGGAAACCTTGAAAGAGGAGCACCAAAGTTCTTCACGCATGCACATCTGTAAAAGAGAGTAAACTACAGCTGCCATAATAATAATAAGCTCATACCTAATGTGTTTTGAAGGAAGCTGTCTATTATAGCTAATTTATTTTCTCGTTTCTCTAATAGTACTTCCGTTTAGTGTGTTCATTCATCACTGTGAATACAAAAAAAATTTTTTATTTAAGCAATACTTTGTAATGACAACGAACGTGTGAAGCATCTCAAATTGCATGTTTGAAACAATAATTTAGCAAAAAATAGCAATTTAAAAGTCATCCATGAAACTAATTTTATGAAAAATGTGGCTAGTAAAATAAAATACTATAATACAGAATTCTAATTTACCTGTAAGATTTCGATTTCGTATCAAAAAGTTTTCTTGGTACTCCAACCCATTCTCTTTCGATGCCACCACTAAAATGTAATTTGGAATCAAAATCCGATAAAAAAGTCTCTATTATAAATCTTTGAAAACGAAATACGTTTGGAAAAATATAAATGAACACAATCATAAGTAATAGCATTTATAGTAATAAGCAACCATTATTCATAACTGTTAAGGCTATAAAAAAAACCTTTTCTTTGAACACCATACTCTGCCACCAACATCTTTTTGCCATTCAGAATTACAAGGTGGAAAAATTTTTGTTTCTTCGGTTTGAATATCTTTCCAATTAAGGGCATTTTCTATCAATTTAATTACTTCCTAAAATTTGAAGTTTTTTCTAAAATTTGCTCTCACTAAACAGATCAGCTTTATATTATATTAAAAAGTATGAATGATGATATTACGATTGGAAAGAACTCTAAGAATTTCGTTATACTGCAGATTTTCATATTTACCAATTATGATAGACATATTAATGCGATTAAAATATCCTTAATACATGGCGGATCATTATACATGAGATTTATGTATATCAAAAAGAAATGATTTTGAGTTTTACAAGTACCTGTGATCCCAATACTATCAATAGAAAGTTTTCACTTTTTGGTGCTGCTGTATACGATTACTCCGCACTAAATTTTGTCAAAAAACTTATAACTACTAAAACTATTGCACTATAAAATAATATACGGAAAAAGTGACACCTCAAAACAAACATAATTCAGATTACATTCTTCTGAATATATGGGTAATGCAAGGGTTCACTTTTCGGCCATTTCTTTGTACCAATATCATAACAAACCAAATCTCGTTATTCTTTTAATTTTACACTTCAAGCATGCTAAATTTAATAATAATCAAACAAACAATTGCTGAAAACTATACTTTTAAACGTGAAGTTGGTTTGCCAGAAGCATCATAGTACGTTCCCTGCAGATAACCGACGAGATCATAATCTTTTTCATAAAATTTGATCCAGTCAAGTACACCCAATAGATCTTGATCACCAAAACCTTCAATATCATCCACCAGACCCTTTTCGGTAAAATCGCCACTGACGAATGCACGCGTTGCATCACGACCTAAACAAAAATTGAAATTTAATGAAAATAATATACTAAATGATAACGTTTGTTACGAAAATATAAAAAAATGAGGATATCTATATTCATTACTCTTATAATTCATTATGATTTGCTACAAAAGTTTTCCAACGCTACAATAAGTTATACTAATTGATCTTCAAAATCGCTAGATCTTCTGCGTTTCAAACTTCGTATAATGTATTGCCGACATACTTCGAACATTACTATTTTAATCTCTCACTCTTCGTATTTCTATTTGGCCGGGATAAGCCTAATCAGTCTACGACAGACCATTTCTATATAGGAATTTACTTCGGATAAGGTTCTTCTAATTGAATATTAGATAGCAATGATCGATGGATTTCCGTTTTCCATGAATTAAGCAAATTAAGACTCATTAAACAGATACCAGCAAAGAAATGATATGAACCGTCCGGACCATAATGCCTGGCACCTTTTTGAACATCGTATATACGACCTAATATAGCGAGATATGTTCCCTTGGATGGACGCGTTCCATCGAAGAAAGATAATTGTTCCCTGTAACACCTCATTGTATAAAATCGGCCACTAGAAAAAATTTTAACCAAATGATATTAACAGAACTCACAATCCATTTGTGCATAGAAAAAATCATACTTTGTCAAGACTGGTAGACTATCATCAACTTTCTCCATAAATATAATATTACTTGTATCCACTTTTTGTTTTGTATGACTTTTTTTGGTTGGAGACGTCGAAGTTTTGAAATCTTTTTCGTTAATTAAAGAAAGTAGATTATCCAACAACTGACGAGCAAAGTCAGTGATACTTTCAATCAGTGGAAGCTGAAATACTGATGAGAAGCACAACGAAATTCTATTAACTATGCCTATTACCTTTTAACGAACAACGAATATCAGAAAATACAATCAGAGTAAATATCTAGTATTCCGTAATTGAAATTAATCGTAGTCATAGTCGAAATTTTATCAAAAATATTGTTTCATTTTAATGAAAATAAGCAAAATAATCTGCTATGCATCATCATTAAAAACAAAAATATGATATACTTTTTCTAAAACTTGACTGAAAAAATTTTTCATGCAGACATACCTTTTGAGACTGTTCTGATATCCACGATAAAACAGGCAATAAAACATCACCAGTACTAACACCATTGTAACTGAACAAGAATGCCATAAACACAACCTAAAAAATTGTCGAAATGAAACAAATAATGAACGCCGAAATCTTTTCCAACGAATTTTATTGCAATTCAATATTTGCCAATTTTTTATCTACTAAACGACATCGATTAATGTTTGACAAAGAAAATGTTAACTTCATCAGGCTTTCATGTAATTTCCCACCACCTGAAAGAAAGTATACGTGCGACAAAATTTCAATAATTTTGCATTCATTTTATGCGGAGGAAAAAAATTATCTTGCCAAATACTTTGCCTTCTGATGATCTTTTCCTTTTAATCCCAATAATTTCCTTCTGGTAATGATTTTTAAGGAGGTATATTCTGTTATGCTGCATATTGTACCAGCAAATTCTGCCAATCTATTCTAGGAGAGTAAGTAAAGGATATTACTCAACTGAAATGATCACATGAAAATTTTAAGACACAAAACAAAGTAGTGATGACAAAAAAAATTAGCTTTCAATGACAAAATACAGACCTGTAATGCACAATAAACAAGGGCAGAAGTTTGAAGCTGTGGTCGAGAATAATATAACTTTCGCTTAACCGCGCTTACATTTCGGTCACTTCGTCTTTTATCGTCGTGATTTGATGGCACTGGTTTCTTGCTAAAAAAAAATACATTGATCATACCGAAATGTTGACATAGTAAATAAAAAGAGAAACTGTTTAATCATATTTTTTTCTACATCTGCAATTTAAACAAATTACTTTATATGTGAGCATAAAACTTTTCCATAGATTTTTTTGATAACAAGCCGCATAATTTCAGCTGGTAACTGCTACATACACATTTACAAAGTACATTGGTATTTCATTCAGAAAAAGTCCTGTTTATCTCGAAATTAAAAAACGCACACTGTGATAACTGATATCTTAATAACTTTTAATTATAATAGGTTTTTGATTTTCAAAATAGCTCTACATGTGTATGCAAACCTTTATCAAAAAATAATTAAATAACTTATGTTTTGTGAAATATTCACAGGATTAGTAAATTCCACTACGTATAAAACAGTTATATATAAAATTCATTCAGACAAAATGATCTTGTTTATCCCAAAATAAATGAATGAAAGAAAAGGCGTATGCATAACTTGCAACATACCTTTAGCTAATTTATTATTTAAACGACTTTATCTCTACATTTATTAATCTTTTTAAATATAAAAAATTAACTGAGTAGAATATGACCCATTATATTATTCCACTTTATAGTGTTGTGTTTGAATAGAACGTAATTTCAAGCTTAATGTCTTATCTATATGACCACTAAACACATTTACTTTTCAGTAATTCATTTCCAGCACATGATTGGTAATTATTAAATCATTCCGTTTAATCCATCAAAACGATAATGAATAAACAATGATTAATCTTGTCGATCAGTAGTAAGTAAAACAACATACTATATCCATCTAGCTTATGCAAAACTTTAGCAATTAAAATTTTCTCTTCACTTCAATAATATGCAAAAAAAAAAAGGAAATCAATTAATAATAAAGTCAACCTCATTATGATGTGGCAGTGTTGTTGTAAGTGTTGAAAATTTTTAGTTTGCTGACGTAGTCAGCCCGATTTTACACAAATAATTTCACTAAAGTCGCATATTGTTTATTCGATGTTTTATTTATCTGAAAGAAAGAAATACACTAACAATTACTATTTGTCACATTATCACCATTTATTTAACGATTAGAAATGATTGATCGATTTGCATTAACTGATAATTTCTTATCAGCACAACTGATAACATACTTTTTGCCATTTTCATCTTTAAAACATCATGAAATGAGACAAAAAAACAACGAAGTGTAAAGGAAAAGACACTCAACGCATAAACCGAAGTGATGTATGCACGAAGTTTAATCGAACATTTTTGAGAGAGATATTGGATTGGATAGCGAAGGAGCGTTTGAAATGAGGAGAGTATGGAAGGATGTGAAAGAAAATTTAAGCAAAGAAAAGAAAAATTAAATTTCAAATTAAGTGAAAGTTTTTAATTTTTAAATTTCTTCATATAATGAATTAATTGGGCATATCATTTTATACATATTAAAATTCACATATAATAAAGAAACTATTGTATAATAAATGTTCTTGCAAATGATTTTATTAGCAATTTGGTATATGATAATTGAACACGTACGTATGTGGAATAAAGATAACATACGATAATTGAAAGCATATAACAATTTGCATATGATAATTGAACACGTACGTAGCATATAATAATTTAAAACGTATGATAATTGATAATTGAAAATGCACGCATAATAATTTAAAACGTACGTAGCATGCGATAATTTAAGACGTACGTAGCATATGATAATTTAAAACGTAGAAAAAAAGATAATTGAAAGCATGCATCCATACATAATAAAATTTACGTATAATAATGAAATTATCGTGTAATAAATGTTACTTACGTATAAAAATGATAATCCTTGACCTTAAGTGAATTTGCAAAAAAATAATTTTTGCTTTACGAAATGGTTACGCGAAAGATAATTTTCACGTACGTACGAAAGGTAATCTTAATTCTAAAATAAAGAGAAAGTGTATGATAGAAGAGATTATGCTATGCAAAATGTTTAACAAATGATAATTTCATAGTGAAGGATCGAACTAACTATAAACAATAGGTTGTTTACGGTGATATTGAAATTTCAGGTGTAACATGAAATAGTTGTAAGATTTTTTTTCTTCATTAAATTACTACAAAAATAGACGTGAAAAAAATGATCGATAAATGAATTCCATTTAACGATGAATAAATTTTATTTTCATTTTCAATTTTACAATCTAAACAATCTTAATTACAATAACGGATAAGACATAACCATCTGCTGCATAAAAATAACCGGATAATGATCGTTTCCATTGAATAACCGGATAATAATCGGGAGATTGTCTATTTTTTTCTGCTTCCGTTTGTTTTCTGTTGAAATATTTTAGTGATAAAGATGGTTGAAATATGAAAATGAAAATTATCAACAAATGTAGGGAAATCTGAATGAGTTCATCGACCGAAATTTACATTCAATTACAAAGAAATGAAAGATTACGGAAAAGGTGAAAATTTCTTCTTTTCGTATCAAAAGAAATGCTCTACAACAAATTAGTCTTTTTCGAAATCAAATGGCAGGAATTTTCAGACTTCAATTTAATCAATGAAATGTGTAAAATTTAAAATATTTGAAATTTTCATTTACTGCATAAAATTTAATACCAGATCGAAAACGAATAAGAATGATATATTGATACTGAGAAAAGAAAATCGAATAAAATTAACCATACTTTTACGTAATTAATCTTTATGTATTAACATTGGAAGTTCACGTATCATTTGATGATACGTTTTATTGTTGTGCCGCATATATTATTTATTGTTTTGTTAAGATTAAACGTGAAACGTTGAAGTTCACAACGTTGAAATTTTGAATATTTAGTCACCGCTCCAGTGCTCTTTCATTGAGTACTAAAAAATGAATACAAATTTGATAATTATAAAATTTAATATAGAAGTTTATATTCACTAAAATAATTTCAGAATTGCAAAGTCGATATTTATTGTTTTATAATTTAGATTTATTAAGATTAAATTATTTCAAAAAGTAAAATGATTGTAACAAGCTGATACAAAACAACAAAATAAATTTTAAAATAATAATAATTTAATTATAAAACCTGATTAATATTCTTAACAAGTGAATGCAATAATAATAAGTGAAATGCAGTAAAGTGAATGCAGTAATAAATGTAACTTCATCTTATTTAATTTAATTTAGTAACTTAATTAATTGTAATAAATGTAACTTCATCTCATTTAACTTAATAACTGAACTAATTATAATAAATGTTACTTCATCTTATTTAATTTAACAACTTATTTAATTATAATAAATATAATTTTACCTTACTTAACTTAGTAACTCAGTAATAACAAATGTAACTTCATCATACCTAACTCGTTCATTTAATTAATTATAATACTTCATCTTTCTTAACTTAATAACTTAATTAATTTGAAACACTTGAAAAATCTTTCGGCCTCATTATATTCGCCGCTTTCAATTATCTTCCATTGTTTTCTGATCAGTATTTTCCATTTTCAAATACAAACACTTCATTATCTAATTACAATCATTAAAATCAGTATTTTTAACTTTCAAATACAAATACTTTATTCCATTACAGTCATTAAAATCAACGCTTCCATACTATTATAAATTCTCTACCTAATTAAAAATTTTTCTTATTAGACAATTTTTGATATCATTTCATCTAAATTAATTAAATTCGACTAATTTCAACTTATTGAATTTTGCAACAAATTTAATTGTCTGGTAGTTTTTTACTAATCAAAATTTATTTTCTTCAAAAATATAACAAAGTGTAGTGGTGTATATATGTTTGTATGTTGAAAACATATGCTACGATTCGTTTGCATATTTGAGATTATTCATCGTCTAAAAATGCCAACGATCGATGAAGGAACGAAAAAGAAGTGGTATGATTGATTTGGTTAACATTTGTTCCGATTTGATGTAATCAGAAAGGAAACGAAATTACTTTCAGATTGGGAAGACTTAATGAAATGAAAATATTTGTTGAAAGAATGAATATTGTTTACTATTAGAAATATTCATTTTTTGTTTACTTCATTTTATTTACTTATTTACTTATTTGCTTAATTACTTATTTACTTATTTAACTTTTTTTTCTTTACTTTCATTTATTATTATAATTGATTATATTTACCAATACTCTTATTTGATAATTTACGTTTTATATTTCATACAATCGCAATTAAATGAAATAATAGTAATAATAATAGTCGTAATTGGATGAAATAATATGCTAATTATAATAATAATAATCAATAATAACAATAATTGATAATAATACATAGCGATAATAATTATTAATAATAGTAATAAATAACAATAATAATAGTAATTGATAATAATAATTATTAGTAATAATTAATTTATAATAACAATAATAGTTTATAATAATAATAACAATAATTAATAACAATAAAAACAATTAATAATAATAGTTGCTGATAATAATAATGATAATTAACAGCAATAATAATACTTGATAGCAATAGTAATAATAAATAATAATAATTAATAGTAATAAACAATAATAATAATTATTATTAGTAATATTAATTAATAATAACAAGAAGAATATAATGATTATGATAAATTTTATCGCCTACGATTTAATTCCTTAAGAAATCAAATTTTAGGACACCTGAAATGATGGCAGTCAAAATTGTATCATAAACTCTCTTTTTTCTCTCTCTTCCTCTCTGTTCCATTCTCTCTCTCACCCACACACTTAAGACATAAATTTTGTTCATTATAATAATGTTGACTACATAGTTGACATTGAAAAGAAACAAAGAGGGAGAGAGAGAGACAAAAGAGAGGGAAAAATAAAAGAAATACCAAAAATTTGAAATTATATTAAACTTAACTTTCGGAATGTAATTTTAGTTAATCTTTCCATTTCGAATGTCTAAATATTGGAATGGATAACTTAAAGAATTATTGAGTAATAAAATATTTTTCCTCTTTGATACATTTATTTTTTTGCCGATTAATATTTCAATCA